GGGGGGGGGGGGGGGGGGGGGAGAGGCAGTGGGGCCCCCTGGGGGAAGGTGTGGGCTCTGCACCTTCCCAGACCTGTGTGGGGCCTTGGCCTCGTGGCGCCTCCTCTGTGGCCTCCGGGTGGATGTGCGTGCGTGTGAGGAGGGCGGCTTTCCTGAAGATGCCACGGGAAGGGGATGCAGGCTCTCAGGAGCGCCTGTGGCCGGGCCAGTGAGCCAGGCTGGGCATCGTGGGGGGCTGCCTGCATGCCGCCCACCTGGGTCCACCCTGTGCCTGGCCCGGGACCTCGTTGCCTAGCAGCTCCTGACAGCGGGCTCGGCCACCCATCCCTGTGTCCTCTCGTGTGTCATAGCCTTTGGGGCAGGTCATGGTGGTGGGAGGGGGTGGGTGGGAGGCCGCTGAAGCAGGGCAGAGCTGGGGGGTGGGAAGGGTCCCGTCTGGGACCTCGCCTGGCCCTTGGGCCGCAGGACCATTGGGGAGGCCAACAGGAGCCCGGCTGGGCAGAATCGGTCCAATTCTCTGTGTGGACTCTGGCCTCTCATCAGGGTCCCAGATTGGATCTGTGACCTGGGCCAGCACCTGGGGCCTCAGGCAGGCCTGGGGTCTGAGTTCGGTGCCCTGGTGGGTGGGTGGTCTCTGCACCCCCTTGAGCACGTGGGGGGTGGGGCTGAGGCTGCAGTGAGCACAGAGGGGCCGCTGCAGCGCTCACCGGCACCCGTCTGTGTCTGTCTGTGTCTGTCTGCGTCGGTCCGTCTGTGTGCCGGGTCGGCGGCCGCCAGTGGAGCGATGTATGAGTGCCATGCAGGCGGGGACGCAGATGGTGAAGCTCCGTGGCGGCTCCAAGGGCCTGGCCCGCTTCTACTTCCTGGACGAACATCGCTCCTGCATCCGCTGGCGGCCCTCACGCAAGAACGAGAAGGCCAAGAGTGAGTGGGGTGGCCCTGCGTGGGGGAGCGGTGGACAGGGCAGAGCCCCCAGACCAGCACCCAGGGGGGCAGAGGACCCTCCCAGAGCAGCCACTGGGCAGCTGAAGGGGCAGCAAGACCTGAGCCCTGGAAGTCCCAGGCCTGGCCCATGGGCTCAGCTGGCCTTGGAGATCCTCGGTGACATCTGGACGCGGTGGGGTGAGGGCCCTGGCCCTGCTGCCCACCTAGCAGAGCCCTTGGGACTCAGTGGAGACTGAGTAGCCCCAGTGCCCAGCCCTGCACCGGATGCTGAGATGCGCTGAGAGGCAAAAGTCCTTCAGTCTAGCCGGGGAGATAAGACGCTCGTGAGCAGAGAGAGACCCTGCTGGGCACCCTGAGGGTGCGACCCCGGTGCGGAATGCTGGCCCAGGCAGCCTGGGGTGTGAGCAGCTGACAGGCGTGTGGAGGCTGCAGAGCTGTCTGGATGGATGGTGGCGGGTAATGAGCTGTGAGGATTTGGGCAGGGACCAGGCTGGGGGTCCTGGGGGTCAGGAAGAGACACGTGAGTCCTTACAGGCGAGAGAGGGGACTTTATGGCCCCTCCTCTGGCTTTGGCGACTGGAGAGACGCAGGTGTGCCGGGGCAGGGCCTCAGCCCCATGGTTGCTAAGGGCACTGCTGCCACCATGGGGCCCAGGAGAGAGCCACGCTGTGGAGCCCCCTGGGAGGGTGTCTTGGAGGAGGGGGCTGTGACTGCCCTGTGGGCCCCGGGGAGGTGGAACCGCCACTGGCTGCTCAGGCAGGAGCCCCTGTGCTCCATCCGGAGAGCCTGCTCTGTGTCAGGCACTGTTCCCAGCACTGGGCATCCTTTGGGAACTGAGCCGCCATGAAGCTGGTCTTTTGAGTGCGAGGTGGGTGACACCACCTAATGGTAGGATAACTTCACGTCATGCTGAGTGACGAGAACACAGGAGGGCAAATAGAGGGGAGCAGGTGGGTGGGGGTCGTGGAGGCCCCTCTGGGGAAGGGGTGACAGGGCAGAGACCAGCAGGCTAGGACGGGGGGAGACCAGCTGACTCTGGCCATGGAGGGGTCCCCAGGAGGGAGGAACAATGTGGGGGCAGCTGTCTCCTGACTGTCAGCGCCCCCTAATCTGGGGGCCCAGAACCCCCACCCCCACCATGAACATGCGTGCACACAGGGAGCTGGGGAGGCGGGAGCTCCCGGGGAGGGGGTAGTGGGGGCAGAAGACAGAAGAACTCGCGCACCCTTCACTGTGCGAGTGGGGAAGACCCATCGTTACTGCACGGGACACGATAATGTCCAGGGTGGTGCCAAGCCTGCCGCTGGGGGCAGGAGCCGGGCAGGGGGTGCAGTGCTGGAGTCCCTGGCTGTGCCGAGCCCAGGGTGCTTGCTCCCAGTGGGGATGCTGCCCACCTGTGCCCCGACTGCCTGAGAAGGGGCCCTGCCTCAGGCACGGGAACAGGCCCTACAAACGCCCTTCTCAGCTCATCTCCTCGCGGTGACTCAGCTTCTGAACGGAGGCCCCATGGAGCTGCAGGCGCTGCAGCCAGTGCTGAAATGCCCGATGACGCCTGAGCTGGCGCGCGCCGAGCCGGGCCCCGCTGCCCCCGGCCCCCACCTGGTGCCAGCCTTTATTACCGAGGCGGCCCCAGGCTCAGACGGGGCGGGAAACCCAACGGGCCCCAGCTGTTGCTGAGAGCGCCTTGGCGCCTGCGGGTGGAGGACGCCTGGCCCCGGGGAGGGCCGTGACCGTGCCCCCCGCCCCCTGCAGTCTCCATCGACTCCATCCAGGAGGTGAGCGAGGGGCGGCAGTCAGAGGTCTTCCAGCGCTTCCCCGATAGCAGCTTCGACCCCAGCTGCTGCTTCAGCATCTACCACGGCAGCCACCGAGAGTCGCTGGACCTGGTCTCGCCCAGCGGCGACGAGGCGCGCACCTGGGTCACCGGCCTGCGCTACCTCATGGCTGGCATCCGTGACGAGGACAGCCTGGCCCGCCGCCAGCGCACCCGGGACCAATATCCTCACGGACGGCGGGAGGGCCCCGGGGACCACCCCTCACTGTCCACCGTGGGGGGCAGGTGAGCCCCAGCTGGCTCACATATTTCGGGAAGGGGAACTTGGGCGGGGTCCTCCACGCCTTCCTGCCCGGGGAGGGGAGGGGAGGGAGGCGCAGCTGGCCTTGCTGCACCTCCGTTGGCCCCTAACTTGGCCCCAAAGTGGCTGAAGCAGACGTTTGACGAGGCCGACAAGAACGGCGACGGCAGCCTGAGCATCGGGGAGGTCCTGCAGCTGCTGCACAAGCTGAACGTGAACCTGCCGCGGCAGAGGGTGAAGCAGATGTTCAAGGTGAGGCCGGCGGGGCCGCCAGGGTCCTGGGGACAGGCGTGTGTCCGGCAGCAGGCCGGCCCTGTCCAAGCTGCAGGAGGTCCCAGGCAGTGCCGTCCAAGCTGCAGGAAATGGCAGGGAAGCAGCTGTCCTGCACCTGTCCGGGGCGGTCAGTCAGATGCCCCAAGCTGCCCCCTGTTCGCAGCTGTGCCGGCACCACTGCAGCAGCTCCTGGGGCCTCCCCAGGCCGGCGGACCGGACATGTGGGCAGGCGCCGGGTCAGCGAGGGGAAGCACCCGCAGGACCTGCACCCCACGTCCCACACTGCCCCGCGATTCCCCAGACTTAGTGGGGTGCACGGGCCCTGCCTTTTGGGCAGCAGCTCTGGTTACCCACCGCGCAGCCTGTGGTCCCCAGCCACCCCGGTGTTAGCAGTTATGAAAATGCATCCTCAGCTGAGCGGCGGCCTTTATTGTCTGTAATTAGTTTCTCTCTTTGCGGAACCGCTGCTGGGCCGGGGGAGGAAGGCGGTGTCAGCAGGTCCTGGATCCGGGTGGGGACGGGCGAGCAAACTCCACCTCACTCAGGCCTCACTGTCTTGCTGCCACCTGGGAAGAGGGTTCCACGAGCTTGAACCAGGCCCTGTGCCCCAACACACACACACACACACACACACACACATACAGACAAACACACACAGACACACACACACACACACACACACACACACGCACGCAGCCAACCGCTCCAGAGGCTCGGCGCCCGGCTGCCCCCTTCTGGGCTCTCGCGAGGGACGGGAGGTTGTGCTTGGCTGGAGCGAGGGGAGCTGGCCGGCCCGGAGCGCGTGGGTCCGTGCGTGAATGGCGGGGGCGGGGTGGTGTGAGCAGAGTGCTCTCGGACTGCTGGGTGAGTACTGGGGGGCTCACAGCGCCCCTCCTGAAGGCCCCAGCGGGGACACAGCCGGCCTGGGCAGTGAGGGGCCGGCAGATAGCTCAGGCCCGCAGAGCAGCCCCACCGTTCCCTGCCTGCCCTGCTTCCAGGGGCAGCTCGGGGGTCAGCAGTGCCTTCCAGAACGGTGAGGCTGTCAGGGGCTCAGATTGGCCTCGGAGGCAGGACGAGAGACGAGTGCCCCCCACGGAATGGGTGCGAGTGGGCACAGGCCTCTGGGGCCTGAAGGTCCGCCACCAAGACCTTCCTTGAAAATGCCCCCCGCTGGAGCTCCGGAGAGCCCACGCCCCCTGCCCCTCCTGTAAGGAGGCTGGGCCCCTCCCGCACCCCCTGGGCACCAAAGGGGCTCCCCACAAAGCCCTCTGACCAGCCCCAGGACTAGTGGTGTCCGGGCGCTGTCCAGGCCGCTTCAAGGAGGACCTGCCAGTGGGGCCCTGGAGGAAGGCCAGCGGGGGGCTGTGGGCCAGAGCTGCTGACCCCAGACCCTGGGCAGCTCAGCCCCAAGTGGGCGCTGTCCACGGTGGTCCCTGAGCACCTGGGCCTCCCTGCCCATCTGCACGGGGCCCTCTGTGGGCACTCGGGAGCCCAGGGAAGGAGGGCTGACCTCCAGCCGGGCAGAGCGGCTCTGATAATTAGTAACAATTTTATGGTCGAGAAATCTCAATATCGTTTCCACTGCCTGGAACTGCCCTAATCAAAGGAGAGATCTGTATGGTGGGTAACGAGTGGCTTGAGCGTAATTTCATTAAGCCTAAAATAACCGTGGAACATAGGCCAGGCCGCACCCTGGGCGGCTCTGAGGCCTGGCCCAGCAGCACAGCTCCGGCCGGCGTGTGCTTTTAGCCGCCGCGGTTTCCCTTTGTGGAGAGGAGAGCGGCTGCGTGACCACGTAGAGAGGCGTTTCTGGGGCCGAGGGCTCAGAGCCGCCCTTCGGGCCCCTGAGGGCCTCGTCGTCACAGAGCATTTTCAGCCACCACCTCGGCATGCTGCCCAGCCCGGAGCCCGCGGAGAGGCCAGGTCACCCCGCATCTCTGCCCAGCTGCAGCCACGGCCCCTGGGAGGGCCTCCAGCCTGACTCCGTCCCAGAGGGGCCCTTTGACCTGCAGCGAGTGCCCTGCCCGGGTCCGTCCCACCAGCTCTAGACACAGGGCTGCCCCCAAACCTGGCACAGACACAGGGTGGCATCTGCTGGCCCCGTGCAGGTGGCCCTGGGCTGGGCCCCTCATACCAAGCTGGCCCTGTCCTGGCCTTGATGTGAGCACCCGGCATGGGCACCCGGGTCCTGGAGGGAGATGCTCGGGCTGTGCTGGGCGCCCACCTAGGGGCCAAGCCGGGGCAGGCAGGGCAGCCTTCCCAGGAGCCCTACTCTCTCCGGGGCCGGGGACATGGGGGTGGCTGTAGCCTGCACCTGGCTCGCTGGTGATACTTCTGGTTCAGAGGGGGGCCTCATTCCCATCTCCAGCCACCCCAGATTGTGTGGCCATAGGAGAAAAGAATGCAGACGCCCCGAGAGGCTGGCTGCACTGCTCTCCATGGTGCTGAACCTGGGGTCTCTTTTTGCCGGGCAGTCGCACCCACCCCCACCCCCCACCCCCCACCCTGCTCACCAGGCTAAGGACCCAACCTCGGCACTCAGGGTCCTGAGTACCTTCCACACGGTCCTTCTGGCCCAGCTCCAGGGACCCCCATGACTTCCTAAGGGCAGCCTGGCCTCCAGCACTGGGTGCCCTTGCCCTCTGGGTCTGTCCCTGGCCTGGGCTCTTGGTGTCCCCAGGGTCTGACACCTCAGCAGGTGCTCCCTGAGTGAGTGGATTCATGAAGGAGTCTGTGGTCTCATTAGCAGCCTGGTGGGTTTGCCTGGGGGGTTCCTGTGGGTATTGTGTGAGCTGCTCTCTGGTCTCAGCCCCTGTCCTCGCATCTCTGCTGTGGCAGCCGGATTCTGGGATTCCTGCATGCCCGGGGGCCCTGTGCTTCTCCAGTCAATGGACGGCCAACCCTAGTTACAGATCACAGCCCAGCGTAGGCATTAGCTCCTGGGTGGGGTGTCGTTGGCTGCAGGGTGGGGTGTTTCTCCAGGGTGGGGTGACTTTGCTGGGTTCAGTTGCAGGTTGACCTGGGAAGGCTCGGAAAGGGGGAGGTGGGGTGAGAGCTGTGTTAACGGGTCACTCGGTGGCTTCTTGGCGGGAGAGGCGAGGGGGAGCCCAGTGAGGATGCCGCTGCCGGGCTTGGGGAGCAGTCGTGAGCCCGTGGCATGGGCAGTGGTGCTGGAAGCAGGAGGGGTGATTCGACTCAGGCTTGACTGAGGGATGGGGAGCTTGGAGGTACCCTCGTGGCTGAGGCCCGGGGTGGGATGTGAGGGGACCCGGAGGCCTTGCGTTACAGGAAGCAGACACAGATGACCACCAGGGGACACTGGGCTTCGAGGAGTTCTGTGCCTTCTACAAGATGATGTCCACCCGCCGGGACCTCTACCTGCTCATGCTGGCCTACAGCGAGCACAAAGACCACCTGGACGCCGCCGACCTGCAGCGCTTCCTGGAGGTGGAGCAGAAGGTGAGCGTCCCCGGCAGGAGCCGGGCTCCTGGCGGCTGAGGCCTCACCGCGGCCTCCCGGGGCATTTGAGCCCGTCCACAGTGTGGCTGAGAGCTTGGGGAAGTGTGGGCACCAGTCTGGCATTTGAGGCCCCCTTACTGCACCTGCCTCGGTTCCTGGCTCGGGCCACAGCCTCCAAGCCGGTGGGGAAGGAGAGGGGCTCAGCCCTGACCGTGGCCCCCCCGGAGCTCCCAGAGGGGAGCCCGTGGTTGACCCCGGCCCCGACACTGGCGTCGAGCATCTTCTGGCCTAGGTCCCTTGGCCCAGCCTTCGGGCCTGGTCCAGCCACGTGGGTCTGGCCGGCTCCCACCCCCAGGGCTCTGGGCCCACTGCCAACTCACTCCAACATTTGTCCAACAGACGTGCAGGTGCCTCTGGGTGCCAGCAGGGTGTGCCTGCCTCTACTGTCCCCGGCCCCAGGCGCCCCATCCGTCCTGAGAGGCCGAGTGCTCCCTGCCTGGCTCAGGGGTCTGGACCCCTCATCCCGGGCCCGGGTTGGGGGGGGAAGGCCACCCCCTGAGGGGACAGCGCTGCCACAGGGGGGCTCGGACCGCAGACGGCGTGGGTGCGGCTACTGTGGGCAGCGCCGGAGTGAGGCTGAGGGGCCGCTGTTCCGACAGGGGTGGAGGGAGGGAACGCGGCCCGGGCTGGGATGGGTAGAACTGACCCGTTGCTCCCTGACCTTCGCCCTAAGCTCTCCAGAGCTCTTCTTACTGTCTGTGGCCCAAACTATCCACCAGCTGGGTGGTTTGAGCCCTGGCCCCTGACTCTGGGCCTCCTGGGTCCACAGCTGCTCCAAGCTCGGACCCCATTTGCCCCTCTCCCCCCACTACATACCCATCCCCACATTCCTGGGGACGTCCAGGTAGCCCTGCTGGTGGAGCTGCCTCTGGGAGCGGGGAGCCCCCGGGGGCTGCACTGTGGGGCCCTGGGAAATCACTCAGCCTCTGACACACGGGTCCACCGATGGGCAAGGCCACCTTGGGCTCGGCTGCCACGCACAGCTTTCTTGCGAGGGACTTGGGGAGGCGACAGGAGGGGCCAGGTGAGCCCCCTGGGCTCCTCCAAGATGGGACGTGGTCCTCACACCAGGCCTCGTTCCCTGCCAGCCCGCCCTGGTCCACAGCCCTCGAGACCCCTAACACAGCAGCGGTGGCGGGTGGCCCGGCTGATGATGCTAAGGGTCCTCGGTCAGCGCCAGCTCTTCCAAACCCAGGGGACCCTCTGGAGTCTGCTGGTCACTGAGGCCCAAGTCTCATGCCACTGGGGGTGGCCCGTGAGCCCCCCAATCGGGGGAGCACGCCACAGGGACCAGGGCCTCAGCCTCGCGTGGTCAGCGCCCGTGCGCGGAGGCGGCCCGCGGTGGGGCCGGAGATGGGCCAGCCTGGCCTCAAGCCCCTGCTCTGGCCTAGATGACAGGCGTGACCCTCGAGAGCTGCCGTGACATCATCGAGCAGTTTGAGCCCTGCCCGGAGAACAAGAGTAAGGGGACCATGGGCATTGACGGTGAGTGGGTGCCATTGCCGGCCCAGCTGCGCTGCCGGATCAGCGGGGTGCGGAGGGGTCCACGCGGCATGGGGGCGGGCGGTCCCGAGATGAGCGCACGGCGGGGCTGGCACGCGGGGCTGAGCCCCTTGCCCCCACCACGCTCCCCCAGCAGGGTTCACCAACTACACTCGGAGCCCCGCTGGCGACATCTTCAACCCGGAGCACCACCGCGTACACCAGGACATGACGTGGCCGCTGAGCCACTATTTCATCACCTCGTCTCACAACACCTACCTCGTGGGCGACCAGCTCATGTCCCAGTCGAGGGTGGACATGTACGCCTGGGTCCTGCAGTCCGGCTGCCGCTGCGTGGAGGGTGAGTGCTGGGGCTCTGGGACCCAGCACGCCCCTCGGCCCCAGGGGCCGGTCCTAGGCCTGGGCTGATGTCTCCTGTGGGAGGGCGGGGTGGCCCCGAGGAGCCCTCTGGAGTCCCTGGGCACGGTTCCTGCCCTCTGCCTGGCCGGGGCCGGGCTACGTCTCTCCTGGTGTTAACTGCGGTGCAAGAGGACCACCTCCGGTTAGCGTCCACGGACTGGGGGTCTCTGGGCAGTGGTGGTCCGGGCCCTGGAACCCACTGAGGCCTGTGTGCCTGCAGTGGACTGCTGGGATGGGCCTGACGGGGAGCCCATTGTGCACCATGGCTACACTCTGACCTCCAAGATCCTCTTCAAAGACGTCATTGAAACCATCAACAAATACGCCTTTGTCAAGAACGAGTGAGTGGCTGGGACTGGGGGGCTGGCCCGGGGGTGGGGGGAGGGGCTCAAGGGCCTCATCCTGCCCCTCCGGTACATCCTTTCTGCGGAGCAGTGCAGCCTTTTGGCGGCTGGTTTCTTGTTGAGGGTGGGGGCAGGGCAGGGGCAGAGGAGAGGGAAGGTGGTGGACGCAGGAGCAGCAGCTGGGCCAGGCAGGGCGTGTGTGTCAGCGGCCCGGGCCACAGACACCTGGTGTCAGAGGCCTTCCACAGTGGTGGCACTAATTGCTCTTAAGAAGTTACTCTGTGTCCAGACTCAACTTGCGTCACTCAGAACGGCTAGAGACACTGTTGGACAAAATCCAGTTTAGTTTCTGGGAATAGGAGACGGCCTCCCAACACTGCTACCCTCGAGTCTCAGCTCAGTGAGGCTCGCGGGTGAGGGTGAAGGAGGGGGGAGGGGAAGCGAGACTGATTTAAGAAGTAGAAACAGAGGTGCCCCTCCGGGAAGACCTGGCACAGGCTGTGTCTTGGAAGGGAGTGGGAGGGAGGGATCTCTGCAGGGCCTTCTGGCCTCTGGAATTGCAGGTGAGGGGGCGTCTCAGGGCAGGGGGGCTGGGACACACAGGTCTCCTGCTGGGGTCTCAGGACGGGGCTTGCACCTCCCATGCCAGCATAATCTCTGTGGGCACAAGGTCCTCCCCCAGGCCTCGGCGCCCTGACTGGGAGATGGGGCGGGGCGGACCTTTGCCCCAGGCCGTGCCTCTCACGTCGCAGGACTCGCCCCCCTCTTGCTCTAGTTTCTGACCTCTAGGTTTGGGTCGTTTACATTTTCTAAAGGGATTATGTTGCCTTTTGGCAAAAATCCAAGTAAATGTGCGCATGACTAAGGAAATTAACAACTGAAGAACTTACCATGGAAGTCCGCGCTGCGCTCCCCACTCTGCACTCCCCACTCTGCACCACGTAGGTAATAATGACGTTCCCCCGATGGTGTGTACCAGGCTATGTCTCCCTCCTTATTGGGCCCCAGGGCCACGCACAGGACAGCGTCTGCAGTATCTCGGTGAATGGGATTATCTCTCTCACAGTCTATCCATCGCACCTCGGTGTACTCCACGCCATTTTTTTTTGGCCGTGCTCTGTGGCTTGTGGGATCTTAGTTCCCCCACCAGAGGGGGACTAACCCTAACCCTGGGCTCCCTGCAGTGCAAGGGCAGAGCCCTAACCCTGGACCACCAGGGAGGCCCCCACGGCATTTTCAAACCATGACTTGCTTGGACGTTTCCTTTTGTTTTTCCTGGAGTTTCTGTTCGCCTTTGTTATTTTCTTATTGGGAGAAGAAGTACATGCCTCCTTTACCCATCCCTAAGGTCTCCCAGCTCCTTTCCCCCACACTCTCCTGCTTTTGAAAGCCATTGGTGGGCCCCTTCCCAGAGTGGCTGGCAGCCCCGTCTATCCTGGGCTCCTGTGAAGATTCCTCCTCATCCAGTGGTGCAGGTGACCTGCAGTCCTACATAGGTGAGACCTACCTTCCCCTGGCCTCATTCTGCTCCTTCCCTCTCGGGGCCACAGGTATCCAGTGATTCTGTCCATCGAGAACCACTGCAGTGTCGTCCAGCAGAAGAAGATGGCCCAGTATCTGACCGACATCCTTGGGGACAAGCTGGACTTGTCATCAGTTAGCAGCGAGGATGCCACCACGCTACCCTCTCCACAGATGCTCAAGGGCAAGATCCTGGTGAAGGTGAGCCCTGCCTACCCCCCTGGGGCCAGCGTCCTGCTGAGCCTCCGACCTCCGACCTCTAACCTGCAGTCAGGTCAAGGGCAAGGCCCTGCTGGGGTTCCACGCCATCTGCGATAGATTTGAGGGGCCACAGGGCAAGCCTGCCCCTGACCTGGCCTCCTTCTCCCCGTGGCTGTCAATCAACTTGGGGCCTTTGGCATCACACCCGGGCATGTCCCTCCCACGCCGCTGCCGCAAGGGTGGGTGGGCTGGCCCTGCCCCCGGCCTGAGAGCCACAAGCAAGCTTGGGAAAGGCTCCTACGCTTTGCTGCTGCTCCTGTGGGTGCCGGCCCCCCAGCACTTCCCACAGGGCCCCTGCCGAGGTCCACCTCCTCCCCCAGGGCAAGAAGCTCCCAGCCAACATCAGCGAGGACGCTGAGGAGGGCGAGGTGTCTGATGAGGACAGTGCAGACGAGATCGATGAGGACTGCAAGCTCCTCAACGGGGATGTGAGTGGGGGTGGGGGGCTTTGGGGGCCGGGGGAGCTGCAGACCTGAACAGCCAGCTCAAGCCTCGTAGAAGGGAGGTGGCAGGGACAGAGGGGCAGGGGTCAGATTCTGAGGGTGATTTGCAAAGCTGCCAGGCTGCTGGGCACCCCCCTGCCCAGCCCTCCACACAGGGCGCGAACCCCGAGTTCCCAGCTAGCGGCTGTCACCTCTTCTCAGAGAGTCGCTGGGACCAGGGGCAATGCTGGGAGGCTGAGGAGTCCACAAGGGCTTTGAGCAGCCCAGCGGCAGGCGGGGGTGGGGGTGGGGACGCTCTAATTAGCCTCTTCCCTCTTCTGGGTACCGCCAAGGTATTATTTCTCCCTGAGGGGCCATCGGATGGGAGAATAATTGTACGGCTGGCTAATTGTTTTAGAAAGCCCTGAGGCAGTGGATTCCTGCCACTCTGGGTGGGTTTGCAGGTTTCCCTGGAGCAGGTTTCCCTGCCTGGCCAGGGGTGATAGTAAGGCCTCGGTCTGTGGTGGCCACCTTGCACCCACTCCAGCCTGGCTGGGCATGCGGGTGCCCAGATGCCCAAGGCCCAGGCCCTGCCTGGAGGGTTCCAGTTGGTCAGGGCCACGCTGGGGTCTGTCCCCACCCCATCCATCTCCTTGAGGTGCACGGTGGCTGGTGGTGGGTTCCCAGATCCTGAGCTGCTGAGCGGCTCTCAGAGCCCAGAGCGGCCGCTGGGTGCCCGATGAGCGGTCCACTTGGTCCAGCAGGCAGCATCGTGCACCTGAAGGAGACAGGTGTTAGAATCAGATAGGCCTGGGCTCAGGGCCTGCTCGGCACTGTCTGAGGCCCCGGGACAAATCACATGCCGGGGCGCATAGCAAGGTGATGTGGGAGCGAGCCTGGAGCCAGCTCCAGGCGTGAGCTGGAGCTCACGTGGGGTGAGCGTGAAGTGGTGCTGGCCCTGCCCGAGACCGGACGCTGTCCCCGCTGCTGCCCGCAAGCTGGGGACTGAGGCCAAGGGGCTGGCCGTCCGCCTCTTGCAGGCCTCCACCAATCTGAAGCGTGTGGAAAACATTGCCAAGAGGAAACTGGATTCCCTAATGAAGGAGGCGAAGATTCGGGACTGCGAAGACCCCAGTGACTTCACCGCGTCCACACTGCCTCCGCCTGGCAAACTCGGGCACACGGCAGAGGCCAAAAAGGTGGGAGCCCCGAGGCAGGCGGGGTCGGCCTGCAGCTGGGAGAGGGGCCGGAGCGTGAGGTTTCTGCATAGCTGTGCACACACACCTGCACACACACACACCTGCCCCCCCCCAACCTGGCCACACACACATACCTGCACACACACACACACCTGCACGCACACACCTACACGCACACACACCTGCCCCCCCAAACCTGGCCACACACACATACAGCTGCACACACACACCTGCACACACACACACCTGCCCCCCCCACCTGGCCACACACACATACCTGCACACACACACACACCTGCACACACACACCTGCACACACACATACCTGCACGCACACACACACCTGCACGCACACACACCTGACCCCCCAAACCTGGCCACACACACACACCTGCACACACACCTGCACACACACCTGCACACACACACACCTGCACGCACACACACCTGTCCCTCCAAACCTGGCCACACACACACACCTGCACACACACACACACCTGCACACACACACACACACCTGCACGCATACACACACACTGCCCCGGGTGCACATCTCCACCCCGGGTCCTCCAGGAGCTCACACTTGGCTGTTCCAGTTCTCACCACGAGGGACCCCCAACTGTCACCCTGTCACAGGCAAATGGCCAGGGAGGGGCTGCCCTGTGTGTGGCTGACAGCCTGTCCCCTGGAGGCCTGCGGACAGCTCCTCTAGCCCACACCCTCCCTGCCTGTGGGCAGGAGTGGGCTGGCAGCCCCCGGGCACCTGCAGCTCCTTGCCGAAGAGGACCTGGGCGTGGCCTGGGGGGTCTAGTGGTGACAGGGAGGGGCTCCAGGCTCTCAGAGCCGAGTGATCCTGGGCAGCTGTGCAGCCCCCCACCCGGAGGCCCCCCAGCCGCACAGGGAAGGGCCGCCGAGCTCTGGGAGGTTCCTCTGTGGGAGAACAGTGTGGGGGCCGTCAGGGCGGATGTGAAGCATATGGGGGCCAGGCCAGTGCGGCTGAGCAGTTGTGGGGCCGTCTGGAGGGGCCGGCAAACGCTGGAGATGTGGCGCCATGAGCTGAGTGGCCCGAAAGCCGGCGCCCTGAGCGGGCTGTGATGGGCGGGGCAGCTGGCCTCGGGGCCAGGAGGGTGCCCGTGGGCCCCGCAGACCCCATTTTGCGAGCACGAGGCCCGTCAGGCGCTGTGTCCTGGTGGGAGGGGCTTCCCACACCCCCCCGAGGACGGCACGCGGGTGCCGCCTCCCCTGCTGAGCTTGGGGTGCGCGCGGTGGGAGTGGGTGACAGCAGATCCTGGCTGTGGCCGCAGCACTTCTCCAGGATCTGGGCCAGCAGGCGCCTCTCCGCGCTTGTGGCCAGGTTCAGGGGTGCTCGTGTGCTGGGTGACCACGGGGTGTAAAGAGCCAAGGGGTGGGTCAACCCCGCCGGCTCCTGACACACCTTGAACGCCGCTTCCCGACCTCTGCCAGCTCGCGGGTTTTCTGAGCGCCTCCGTTGCTGCGCCTTGGGCTCTGGACCAGCGCCCCTCCGGGCAGCCAGCCGGCGGGTGGGAGACAGCACTCCCCAGGGGGCGGAGGAGGGGGTGGGGGGTGGCCCCGTGGCTGTCCCTACCCCTCTGCCCTCCTTGGCCGGGCCTGGGGGGGCCTCGCAGCTCGCCCTTGAGCTCCAGGCTCCCTGCTCGGCGGTTCTGCTCATTTCCTGGGTGAGGCCAGCGAGCCAGGCAGGGGCATGGCCGAGGGAGGCGTGTGTGCGCAGGGGCGCCCACAGGGGGGTGCGCACAAGCTCGCGTGGGTGCACGCAGGGTGCGTGTGCAGATACGTGCAGATGTGTGTGCCCCTGGCTGAAGCCCCTCCTTGACAGGGAACCTCGGCTGCGAAGCCGGCTCCCGCCCTGGTGGGCACGTCCTGAGCAAAGTTGGGAGAGTGCGGGGGCGGGGGCGGGGCATCTGTGGAAGGGGCTGGGGGGCGGCTGGTGACGGCTGTGACGAGGGACCTCGGGGACACTGGCACAGACTCCCAGCCGCTCCAGAGGTGTGACTGAGCTTCAGGATGGATGAGAGCTTTGTGCCTCGGCCCCAGAGGGGGGAGGGACAGGCCCGGGGGCCCCTCGGGTGGGGGCAGGAGGGGAGCCGCCAACGCGCGTGTTCTGTAAACAGCAGCGAAGAAGCTGGTCCTGCAGCCTCAGGAGGCTCACCGTAGCCCCGAGTGCAAACGGTAACGGTAATGGCCACAGCCCAGGGGATTGTCTAAGTAGGTAATAGCTTTGCCGCTGCAAGAAGCAGGCGGGGACTCCTGAGCTGCGGGACCCCCGTATGAGGATTACCTAAGCGGGCACGCCGAGGAATGTTCCGGACACACAAGCGGCATTTATTAGGCTGTCACCATCCATAGGAAGAAATCAAGACTAGGCACTGGAGGAGTGTCGCACGGCACGTCGTGGGGAGCTGACACGGGCGCACGAGCAAGCGCTGTTCTCAGGCCTCTGCTCCCCGCACACTTCCTCCACGCCCCTCCCATCTCCCTCCCTTCCAGGAAGGCGGCCTGGGGCCTCTGGGGGGAGCTGCCCATCCCAACCCAGCCCCGCTGCCTGTCTCTCCTCCCAGGCCGAGGAGGCCGGAACCAGCAGACAGAACAGCCGGCTCCTCGCGCGCAGCGTCTCGAAGCGCAAGGTCTGCCGGGCTCCCCACGTGCGCCAGCCAGAGCTGGGGGGTCTCCTCCAGGACCGAGGGCCTCTGGGATTCCTGAGGCCCTGGTCGGGGCTGGATGGAGCAGGTGCCTCGATGGCCCTCCCCCGGTCCATGGTCGACGCCCGGAGTGCAGGTCACCCAGGGCCCGGGCCAAGCAGGGCACTGCAGAGGGGGCAGGCCCGGCTGCAGGGTGGGCACCGGGACCCCAGGGCTGCAGGCCCTTCCCTCGCAGTGTCCTGGTCTCTGCAGACAGCCCGGCTGGGCCTGGCGCTCCAGCAGTCCTGACTCTGCCCTGGTTCTGCACAGAAAAAGAGCAGCAAGCTGAAGAAGGCGGCCAGCGTGGAGGACGGGGACGAGGGCCCGGACGCCCCGGGCAGCCAGAGCCGAGGGTCAGTGCCTGCCTCCATGCCGGGCCCCCGAAGAGGCAGCGCAGCGGCACGCGCTGGGACCCTTGTCCTGGCGACGGTCAGCGTCACATGTGCAGGCTCAGGGACCCACACGGTGGGGAGCGGCCGTGGGGGCCCAGGGCAGGGACCCCGGGGTGCAGGACCAGACTGGCCAGCGCGGGTCCCCGTGCTCGTTTCTGTAGCAGCTGTCGCGGTCGGTCACCTGCCCCCTCCCCCAGTGTCACCTCTCAGCACGTCCGCCACATGTCCTGACGCCTGGAACACGGGGGCATAGTGGACGCCTGAGGGACGCTCCCCGGAGCCTGAACAGGGAGGCGTGCGACCCAGGTCCTGACCCCACCCCTCCCGCAGGGCCACCCGGCAGAAGAAGACCGTGAAGCTGTCCCGGGCCCTCTCAGACCTGGTCAAATACACCAAGTCCGTGGGCATCCACGACGTGGAGATGGAGGGTGAGGGGCCCCTGGGGGGCGGGGGAATCGGGGCCCTGGGGGGGCGGCTGACCCGGTGCCCTGACGCCGCCCGTCTCACCCGGCAGTGGCGTCCAGCTGGCAGGTGTCTTCCTTCAGCGAGACCAAGGCCCAGCAGATCCTGCAGCAGAAGCCGGCTCAGTACCTGCGCTTCAACCAGCACCAGCTCTCTCGCATCTACCCCTCCTCCTACCGAGTGGATTCCAGCAACTACAACCCGCAGCCCTTCTGGAACACCGGCTGCCAGATGGGTGGGCGCCGGGGCCTGGGGCAGCCGGGCTGGCGAGGGGGTGCAGCTGGGTTCTCCGCGGCCTCTCCGCTTGCCCTTGGCTCTGGAGAACCTTCGCGGCATCCAGCCAACTTCACCAGGATGGCGCCGGGGTGGGGGCTGCTGGGGCGGGGGCCTTAGGACCCCAGGGCAAGGCAGGAAAGACACAGGTGCGCGTCCAGGCTCCTGAGGTGCGCGGGGCCGCTGTGCCGGCTCTGCGGGAAGTCCTGCCGGGACGCACGGCCCTGGTCGTGCCCGACGTGAGCCCCAGGGCCCCTGCTCACGTAGTGGACGCGGGCTCACAGGAAGCGGCGGGGCGGGACACACGGGCTGGGTGCTGAGTCAGCCACCTCACATCCTTCCCCACAGTCGCCCTGAACTACCAGTCGGAGGGGCGGATGCTCCAGCTGAACCGGGCCAAGTTCAGCGCCAACGGCAGCTGTGGCTACGTGCTCAAGCCCCAGTGCATGTGCCAGGGTGAGGCTGTGGCCCCAGGACGGGGACACGGGGGTGGCAGGGGGCGGCCGCGGCGAGGCCAGCTGGCGGGTCAGGCTGGGGCACAGGGAAGCGCCGCCACCCTGCCGGGCATCTGCGGCCCTCCCCGTGCTGCCCCGAGAGGCCCCGGGCGAGGCGCCCTGGGTGAGGTCCACCCGGCGCTTCCCCCCTTCTCGGTCGCCTCAGTTTTCTCCCCGATGTGCCGAAAACGACCTGTGGGTTTCTTCCCGTCGTAACCCCGACCCGTCCTCCCACGGGCCTCTCGGCTTGCGCTGTGCAGCGTTTATCTGCAGTGGCCTCTTCGAGTTATCGACGTGCGCAGCCCCAGGGCCCCCCACCCTGGACCCTGTCCCCGGGCACCCGGCCCCCCCACCCAGAGGCGGTGTGGCCTCGCACTGAGCCCCCGTGGTCCACCTGTGGGAGGAGCGAGCTGGGCCCACATCATGGGGAGGCCGCAGAGGCGACCGGCCTACGGCCCCCCATGCCCACCCCTGCCCTGGAAGGCTGCCTCCCCTCCCCCTCCCGCACCCGGGGCTCCCATCCAGTGGATGGGGTGGAGGAGGGAGTGGACACACTGGGGCTGCCCCGGGAGCCGGTGGTGGGTTTGCCCTGCCTGCTCAGCCTTACCCTGGCCCCCCTCAGGCGTCTTCAACCCCAACTCCGAGGACCCTTTGCCCGGTCAGCTCAAGAAGCAGCTGGTGCTTCGGATCATCAGTGGACAGCAGCTCCCCAAGCCGCGGGACTCCATGCTGGGGGACCGAGGGGAGGTAGGAGGGAGGGCCTGGGGGGCCAGGGAGGGCCGGGCCGTTGGCCTGGGCCCCGGTGCCACCCTGCACTCTGCGCCAGATCATCGACCCCTTCGTGGAGGTGGAGGTCATTGGGCTCCCCGTGGACTGCAGCAAGGAGCAGACGCGCGTGGTGGACGACAACGGTGAGGACGCGGGAGGGCCGGGGGCGCCCGGAGGCCCCGTCACAGCTCCTGTGCTGCTGACACCAGTCTGACCGGGAAGGGAAGGGTGAGGGCCACCGCCTGTGACCCACGTAACTGTCCAGGATGCCCCCTCGGCTGGACGCCCAGTGACAGCCGCCTGGCCTTCCGGTGTTGCTTCTTTCAGCCGGTGGCCAGCCTAGGAGGAGGTGCTGGGAAAGGGCGTGTGGCCTCCAGGCTGGAGCTGTGGTGCGGATGGGACTGGCCTGTCTGAGAGGTGGGGGTGGGGCAAAGGTGACAGACACCTCCTCCTGGTGGCCTCCAGGATTCAACCCCATGTGGGAGGAGACCCTGGTGTTCACGGTGCACATGCCTGAGATAGCGCTGGTGCGCTTCCTCGTCTGGGACCATGACCCCATTGGGCGTGACTTCATAGGCCAAAGGACGCTGGCCTTCAGCAGCATGATGCCAGGTGGGCAGGGGGCCAGTGGGGGTGGGGGAGGGCAGAGCCCTGGGCCAGTGCCCCCCGTAGCGCGTCCCCCACAGGCCAGCAGAGGACGCCAGGACAGGGTGGGGCTCAGCTTCCTCCTGCGAGTTGCCTTCTGCCACGGGTGGGCCTGGGGATACCGAGGGAGCTGAAGAGGAGGGTTCAAGGCCACAGCACTTTGTGGTCAGGGTGGGGCATGGTAGCACCAGCTGCGGAGCCCCTTAGCCCCCAGAAGATGGTTGCTCTGCAGGCGAGAGCAATCCTGGTAGGCTTTCTGGAGGAGGTAGCGGCCCTAGGACCAGGCTCACAGGTTGTATTCAGGGCTTTGGGACCTTTAAGTAGAGTGTGGGGGACGTGGGTGGGTAGGAGCCATGGTGAGCATGACCCCGGCTGTTTCAGGCTATCGGCACGTGTACCTGGAGGGGATGGAAGAGGCCTCCATCTTTGTCCACGTGGCCGTCAGTGACATCAGTGGTAAGGTGAGTGTCACCTGCAAGGTCACTTGCTGTTGGGAAAGGGTGCCCCAGCCCCAGCCCCAGCCCCAGCCCATCCGTGTCCCTGGGGCCATGAGGCCTAGTGCTTACCTTGACGGGCCCGTGTCTCCATCCACGAAATGAGTGGCGGGGCCCCCGGGCGCGCCTCTGTGTCCCGGGGCCAGTGTGGCCACCAGCACATGGAAGCCCTGGCCCTTCCTGGGCAGCCCCGGCCCCTCGCGTCTCTCCTGAGCCTCCCCTTCTACTGCTCGGGGTGCCCTGGTTCTCTGTCCCTCCTCAAAGGCGTCTGCCTGGCTTTGCCCCGTCCCCCACCTGCTCCCAGTACATTTGCCCCAGGACGGGGTCTCCCTCCGACTTCCGCAGTCTGCAGAGCCCAGGGGTCCCTGGTTCTAAGCTTGGGGCCTAGCAAGGCTGCACGTGGTGGTCGTCCACGTGGCTTCCGGCACTAACCGTCTCTCTCCTGCCGTGCTCCTCGGCCCTGGGTGCTGCCGACGGAGGCCCCACAGGCCTCCCAGCTCCGTCGTGCGTCCGTGGTCACCCTGTCGGTCCTGTGTCTCCGTCTCCGTGCTCCACGCCCGCTGTTCGTGTCTCACGGCCTCACTCTGTCTCTTTGGTCTTGCAGTGGGCTTCTGTATGTCCAAAGTCTACTTTTAGAAGCACGGCCCTGTTAGGAGCTCGAAGGTACCCCAGCGCGGGGGCGGCGTGGCCTGCCCGCCCCCCACCTGCATGCTCAGGCCACCCCGTTAGCATCCGTGAATTCCTGGTAGCATTTTGGAGACTGTCAGCTCATGGGACATGGGTCGGGACGTGGTTCCGGGTCCCCTGGGCCATCCTCAGGCACAGAGCAGCATTTACGAGGCAGGTCCAGGACCTCAGCCAGGCCTCCTGTGTGTCCGCCCCGAGGTCTGGCCCATCTCCTCCTACCCTTGGCCTTTCCGACTCCTGCACCTCCCCCACCCCCCCGCCCTGCCCTGCGCCTCCCTGTGTCCAGTCCTCTAGCTGCCGGCCCTCCCAGTACCCGTGCCCTCTCCCTCTCCCCCACCTCCCTCTGCGCTCTGCCTGCCTGTGTGCCCCTCTGATCTGTCTGTGCTTCCACGCCCAGTGCTGGAGGAGGAGGGCAGGTGGGTGGGGGCGGGGTAGACCCCAGGGACCAGGAGCTCCGAGCTTGAATTCTGGACCTTCTTCTAAATGACCTTCTAGCCAACTTTGACCAAATTGCTCTGGATTTGGGATCTTGAATCAGAGAACTGATTCAAGTGCTGGCCGCTAACGCCTCTGCCCAGACGTGCCCCCATGTCGCGGGGACCGTGGCTGTCTCCAGGGTCTCTGCATGTGAGGACCCTGCCGGCCTCTCCGGTGTTGACCCAGGCACGTGCCAGCCGGTCCTGGGGACCCTGGCTGCCATCCTCAGGCCGGGAGGCTGGGGGGAGAGGCCTTGTAGGGGCCTCCCGGGCCCGGCCGTCTGGGAAGGACTGCCTGGCAGACAACTGGAAAGGCTTCCCGGAAGAGGTAGCACTCCAGGGGAGAGGGCCGGGCAGGAGCACGGGTGAGCCGACCGTGGGGCTGCACCTGGCTGTGCCTGCTTCCTTGGCCGCGGTGCCTGGGGGCGGGCGGGACCGGTGCTCTGTCTGGTTCACACCCCGTCTTGCTCTCCACACCAGGCCCACCCTGGGGGCCCCGTGCCAGCCTGCCCTGCCAGCCTGCCCTGCTGGAGCTGGGGCCCCAGGGGCTGGAGGGGTGAAGAGTGCGGTGGGCACAGGGCTGGGGGCCAGGTCTCTGCTCGGGAGACCCTGGGGGGGGCCTCCCCGCTCCAGCACTCCCTGGCCACCTGCCCTGAGAGCCACAGACCCTCCGCCAGCGCCCACTCCCTCCACCCTGGTGCAGGCAGGCGCCGTCCACGCTGTGCTGAGGCCACAGCCTCCGCCGCCCCTGGTAGAGCCTCCCTGGAGACCGTCCTCCTTACACACAGCCCTGAGTGGTGCCCCAAGCGCGCAGGCCCGTGGGGCCGCAGCAGGCTCTCCCGGGCCACGGCCTCCGGAGCACAGCTGGACGGGGCTGGGCAGCCTCCGGCCCCTGGTGCCCAGCTGCCGGCTATGTGTCTCCTTCTCTTGCAGGTCAAGCAGGCTCTGGGCCTAAAAGGCCTGTTCCTCCGAGGCCCAAAGCCCGGCTCCCTGGACAGTCATGCTGCTGGGCGGCCCCCGCCCCGGCCCTCTGTTAGCCAGAGGCTCCTGCGGCGCACGGCCAGCGCCCCAACCAAGAGTCAGAAGCCAGGCCGCAAGGCCTTCCCAGAGCTGGTCCTGGACCCGCAGGACCTGGGCTCTGAGGGGGAGGCCAGCGACGCGGCACCTTCCAGCCCCAGCCCCGCTCCCGAGGCCCCGGCCCCGGAGGAGCTGGGCAGCCGCAGCCCTCGAGGTAAGGCACCGGTGGAGAGGAGCCCGGTGCAGGTGCGGCCCCCGCGGGCCCCCGAGGGCCCTGGGCCTGCCAGGATGGCCACCACCTGCATGAAGTGTGTGGTGGGCTCCTGCACCGGTGAGGACGCCGAGGGCCTGCGGAGGGGGCAGCTGCCCAGCCCGGGGCCCGAGAGCAGGCACGCGGCCATCAGCCAGCAGCCCCGCGCCTGGGCGGGCTCGCGGGGGGCGCCCCACACTGCCTCCGGGAGAAGCAGAGGGGCCCCCAAGGGCCCTGGGTCCCAGCAGCCGGGGCCGGGCGGCCGCGGCTTCGTGTCCTTGGACTCCAGCAGCCCGGGCAGCCCCGAAGGGACCCCCCGCTGTCCCGAGGGCGCCCGCAGGCAGGCGGGGGCCCTGCAGAGGGAGATGAACGCCCTGTTCATTCAAAAGCTGGAGGAGATTAGGAGTAAGTCCCCCGTGCTCTCCACCGGTAAGCCCAGACGCTCCTCTGCAGTGTCCCCGTGGTGGCTCCCACGCTGCCCCCGCATGGCCTGGCTGGCATCCCCGCTGTGCTTCCGTGTCCAGAACTGTGGCCTCCGTGTGTTCACTGGCCTTCGTTTCCTTGTTCCACCGGCTGGTCCCATGGGCCCCTCAGCCCCCAGACCCCCGTCTGACCATGATTTGCCCCGCAGGCCCCCAATGCTCCCCAGGGGCTGGGAAAGTGATTGCAGCTCTGGCCGCAGCCGTCCTCACCCCGGGCTGGGGACTGGGGAGTCTGAGCCGGGTCCACTTGCCGAGGCCTGCAGCCCAAAGGGTGGCCTCTGGAGCCCAGCCTGACTGCCAGGGCCCGGGGGCAGCTTCCAGGCCCTCCTCCTGCCTCCCCCTGGCCGGCACCGCAGTCCTCTAAGGAGTCTGGCCTGGGTTCCTGGCTGGGGCTCAGAGTCTCGACGTAGAGGCCTCTGTTTGCAGTGTGAGGGGAGCAGCTTGGCCGTGGCCCTTGGCCCTGGGGACGCATGTATGAGCAGCTCTGCTCCGGAGCCCCCACCCGGCCCCAGGGCTGGTCATGGCAGATCTGCCTGTGGCCCCTGGCCACGATCCGAGCCCGGGGAGGGCGTGCTGGAAGCTGGGCCACCCTCCCGCTCCCCCTCCGTACCTGCCCAGCCTTGCGTCCGTCTGTCCACGGCCAGCCCCACCCCGGCGCTGACCACCCTCTTCTCCTTTCTGTCCCCACGCTGCCTTCCTAGTCAGGGATTGAGAGCGGCTGAGTGCCAGGTAACGGGGCCCGGCCGCGCGTGGGCCCTGAGCTGCGCCGGCCCCACGAGGGCCCTGCCTGTGCGCCCAGGCCCATCTCTTCCCCCAGCAGCAGCGGAGCGGGGGGGCAGGGTGGGGGCAGCTGTGAGCACGTGGAGGGGCCTGGAGCCCCGCGGGCACCCCTGACATCTGCCTCTCCCTCTCCCCGCAGACGCCCACCCCTTCTCCTCCCTGTGCAGCCTGGAAACCATTGCTGAGGAGCCAGCCTGGGGTCCTGGCCCCCCACCGCCGGGGGCCGTCTCCCCCAGCCACGCCCCTGGAGGGCCCCAGTGCTCTGCGGGGCCCGGCACCAGCTCGGCGAGCCCCCCAAGGGTGGCTCTGGGAGCTTCCGGGCCCCTCCAGCTCGGGACCGGGAGCCAAGGGAACGCTGAGCCAGCCCCTGAAAGCAGGCAGTCGGCGTGCCACGGCGGGGGCCCTGCTGGGGCCTGCAAGGGCGCCCCCGGTAGCCAGACGGACGGCAGGGGCCACCCCCGGGCTCTGGGCCACGTGCTCAGAAGGGCCAGGAGCGAGGGGCAGGTCCCCTCGGAGTCCCTGGGTGGACGGTGGCCCCTGGCCAGGCCCCGCCCCGTCGTGTCCTTGGATGCCACTGGCGGTGACCAGCTATGGCAGGCGCTGGAGCCAGGCAGCCACTGTGGCAGCGTGTCCCCGTCCTCCAGCCTGTCGTCTGGTGACACGGCCATCGACCTCTCCCTGCAGGGCCTGGGCTTGGGACTTGACAGCCTCCCGGGGGCCCCGGCGGGACGCCTGCCCCTGTGGCCCTGCTTGGCCTCCGCCACCTGCCTGGACCTGCCCGCTGTGACCAAGAGCAAATCCAACCCCAACCTGCAGGCTGCTGGCCAGCTGCCTGTGGAGCCTGACGAGCTGCAGCCCCGCCCCCTGGCCCCATGGCCACCCTGGGCCCACCACCCCCTGGTGGGCCTCCCGGACTGCACTGTGGCTGCCAAGTCCAAGAACCTTGGGGACCTGACCGTGGACGACGTTGCACCCCCGCGTGGAGAGCCCGGGCCGTGGCCTGGGCCTGGCCGGGGGAGAGGCCGGCAGGGCGGGGGGCGCGGCTGGACGCCCCGACGGAGCAGCTGCGCAGGCTCACGGGGTTCCAGCAGGCTGGGGGCATCACGTTGCCCACCAGCGGGGGCCCGGCTGGGGAGGGGGCAGCGGGGTCCCGGCTGGGGAGGGGGCAGTGGGGGCCAGGCTAGGGAGGGGGCAGCGGGGTCCCGGCTGGGGAGAGGGCAGCGGGGGTCCCGGCTGGGGAGGGGGCAGCGGGGGTCCCGGCTGGGGAGGGCGCAGCGGGGGTCCCGGCTGGGGAGGGGGCAGCGGGGGTCCCGGCTGGGGAGGGGGCAGCGGGGGTCCCGGCTGGGGAGGGGGCAGCGGGGGTCCCGGCTGGGGAGGGCGCAGCGGGGGTCCCGGCTGGGGAGGGGGCAGCGGGGGTCCCGGCTGGGGAGGGGGCAGCGGGGGCCCCCGGCTTCCTGCGGCGTTCCTCCTCCCGCAGCCAGAGCCGTGTGCGCGCCATCACCAGCCGGGCCCATCGGGCCCGGGAGCGGCAGCAGCGGCTGCAGGGCCCGAGGGGCTCCCCAGAGAAGGAGCGGGGCACCCCTGAGGGCGCCTGCTGCGTGGGCCAAGAGGGCTGTGGGGATGTGCCGGCCCCCGCCAAGGGCACCACCAACCAGCTGTCAGGTGCTGCCGCCACTGGCCTCCTGCTGCAGCCCAGGGCTAGGCGGGGCCCGCGTTTGCTCAGGTTGCGGAGCTGCTGCCCCCGAGGCTGCCGCCTGTCCGGTGTGGCTGTGCCCCTCGGCCCTGCCCCTCCTCCTGGGAGGAAGGAGCCCACCCTGGGGCAGGGCAGAGTTTTCACGATCTTTTAAGATCCACGTACACATAGAAAGATACTTAAATTTTTAGAGGCAAAGCTTCTACAATAAGAAAATGGTGCCGTGTCCTTTTCCACTTTCCCCTGGTTTCAGCCGCGGGGCGTGTGCGGGCGCGCGTCTGCCGGGCCCTGCCATGCGAGGCGCCCAGTGACCTGGAGCGTGGCCTCCCCGGCCCGACTGCTGGCTTGTTCTGCACACACTGCTCTGTACGGGACATTGTAGACTCTTGTAAACTCCTGAACACAGCTCCAATAAACACGCTTGCGCTTGCTCCGAGTGCGCTCCTTCTGTGGCCGCGTACCCGGTGTCGCGGGGCCGGAACCCAGAAGATGCCCCCCACCCTCTGCCCGCGGATGGCTTGGCTGGACCGCGCCCAGGGTCAGGGCCACAAGCCCCGAACACACCCCTGTTCTTTCCCTCCCCCTCTCCCGCCCCACTTATCGGGGGCAGACATTGGCCCTGGCAGGGCCCCAGGCCAGAGGGTCCCCAGCTGTGGGGCTGCTGCTCCTGGAGTCTCTGCGCACAGAGGACCGTCAGGGCCGCCCCCTCCCTCGAGAAGCTGGGGGGCTGACTGCCCTCCCCACCCGGGCACCTGGCCTGCACAGAAGCCAGCTGAGGTGTCAGAGGCCCCCCCAAGGGTGGAATCACTTGGTACAACAAGCAGGGGCTGGGGGCAGCCCACCCATGGCTCAGCTCAGGGAGGCCTCGGGCCCCACACCAGGATCAGCCCTACTGTCCAGGGTCGGAGGCCCTGGGGACGGTGGGCGCCGGGCAAGGCGTCTGAAAGGCTGGGTGTTGGTGGGCGCCAGGCGCTCTGTGGCGGTCTGTCTCTTGCTGTGTCCCTCGTAGGCCCCAGGGACCCACGCCAGCTGCTTGCCCAAACTCAGCAAAGGCCTGGGGGATGGGCAGTTGTGCCAGTGCCACTTTCCTCCCAGGACCAGTCAGGCCCCTCGGAACCGGGAAGGCCCTCCTCCTTCCTCTGGTTGGGGGAGCTCAGCCTGGGGGAGCTGTGGCCCAACCCCGGAAGGGAGGGGTCCCCAAGGCACTGCGTCTGGGCTACTAGAATCTTGGGAGAAGTGAAGGGGAGGCGGGGGGCAGGGAGGGACACAGCCTGGGGCAATCTGCCAGGGCTCACAAGATATGGCGGGGGGGTGCCAGCCCTTCTCCAGCCCCAGGTGGGCGCTGCCTCTTGTTCCATTACCTCCCAGGGGCTGCCCTCAGCTGCTGGGAGGCCCAGACCCTTCCTGTCCCAGCTGAGAGAGGGACAGGGCATCGCAAGAGGGGTACCTGAGGGCAGGGCAGGTGCTCAGAGCCCTGGTGCCCTACTCACCGTGGGGCCACCGCAGGCTCCCCCCGCCTGTCCAGCGACCCTCAGGGGAGCGCCAGGGCCTGACAGGAGGGAGGCCCAGCGAGGCATCATGACACAGGCCGAGCTGGGCTCTGATTGGACCTCTGGAGTCCCCCTGGGTGTCTGGGCAGGGCACGCCCTGCACAGGGAGCCCCAGACCAGCTGGGACGATGCTGCTGCAACACCAGGGACGGGAGGACAGAGGGTGGCCTGGGCAGAAGAGGGGGCAGGCCAGGCCTCACAGAGGCGACCACAGGAAGCTGAGCCGTGCGCAGGTGCAGGCCGGGGGGGTGGCGAGGGGCTGTGTTGGGGTCAAGGTGGGTGAGCCTTTGCGGAAAGGGGATCCATGGACCACCCACTGGACAGGCCTAGCCTGTGCCCTCTAGATGGCCGTGCCCCCGGCTCCCCCTGGCGGCTGCTCACAGGAAGGCCAGGGCCCTCTCCATCCAGGGTCCATCCATCCAGGAGTGGGGTGCAGCACATGGGTCACCCAGGGGGGCTGCTGTGGTGCAGGACAGGTCGAGCACCCCCTGAGGTTCAGTGCAGGTCCCAGACCGCTGAGCTCAGGCTCCCGGAAGGGGGTGCAGGGCCCCGGTTTCCCTGGCCCAGCAGGGCAAGTGCGAGGGGATCTTGGGCAAAGAGGGTGGGGCTCAGGTCCCTGCAGGGGCAGCCCCGACGGCCTTCCTCATCCCGCCCGTCCTCACGTTGCTGGGTGCTCCAGCAGTGAGGGACCTGGGTGCTGGGCAGTGGGGCTTCCTCAGTGCACAGGGCCCGGGGCCACGGCAGCAGGGCCCCCGCGCAGCTCTTCGTTCCTGAGACCAATGGCACGCACAGGCGGCCTCGCAGCTCCGTGGCCAGTTCTCCTGCTGCGATGTGGCGTCTGAGGCTCAGGTCTGCACCCCGAGGGACGGGTCCAGTGGGGGAGGAGCCCCTGCCATCTCACAGCACCTCCATCACCGGGCCCAGTGAACCCCCCACCCGCCTGCCGTCAGGCAAGGCTCTGGGCATGGGCGCAAGGCCGTGGCGACAGAACCCATGTGGTCTGAGGGCTCCGAGCAGGAGGACTGGACCAGCCACCAAGTCCCTGAAAATCCTCGAGGGCCCTCGAAGCCCGTGGCCTCCTCTCAGCAGCCTGTCTGTCCTTCCCGTGCGTAGCGGGTCCAGGCGGGGCAGGGGCGCGGGGGAGGCCTTCTCCAGATAGACACGCCGGGGAGTGATGCTGGAGGCCACGTGACAGGGCAGCGGCCATGGCCCACGGGCCAAGGTGGGCCTAAGAGTTCTAGAGATCACCTAGGGAGAGACCCCACTGCTGTGCTCCCTGGGGGAGGCGTAGGCAGGGCCCCCGGGGGGGGCTGCCCACCCTCACACCAACGAGCCAAGGCAGAAACGCTCTGTTCTCACTCTGGAAGCTATTTGCCGTGCCCTGACCTCAGCGTCCTGTCAGAGGCGTATACGTATATATTTATATTTTTATATATATATATATATATATATGTATATATGTATATATATATAAAAGATTATTTAACAGTTAAATATATTCCAATAAGAACGTCTCACGGGACAAAAGTCGTGTCTCCCCACCACGAACACGTCAGCACTGAAGAAACACCGAGCCCGAGGCCACGAGCGCTGAGCCCACACCTGGGTGCAGCCGGTCTCTCACAGAAGCACAATATAAATACTCTGATTTGGACGCGGGTCCCTGTTGCCGTCGAGATACGTTCCTGAGGCGACGGGCGGAGCAGCCCGGCGGCGGTGGCGCCTCACTCGGCCGGGACCTCGTACTTGAAGATGACGCTGAAGAGCCGGCCCCCCAGCCGCTCGGCCAGCCACGAGTTCTTGATGACGGCCAGCTTGAGGCTCTCACAGCGCAGGGCCGCGTGGTAGTTGGTGTGGACGGCGCGGCCCATGCCCTCGATGACCACCAGGTCGGCGCCGCGCTCCCGCACCAGCACGGCCAGCCCCTTGTCCAGGCGGCTTCGGGGAGGAAGGGGGCAGTGAGGAGGGTGCAGGCGGGGGGCCTGGCACCCTGCACTGAGCTGCACCCGGGGCAGACGCCACACCCTGCCTCCAGCCAAGGGCGGCGACTGGCGGGAACGCCGGAGACCCCCGACCCTCGGCCCCCCCAACTACGTGGGCCTTGGGTCCAGCCTGATCCCCGGACAGCCAGCCCGGCAGCTGCCCTCCCGGGGCCCGGGGCCCAGGGTCTTGGGGACCCCTGGCAGCTGCGCTCCCGTTGCTACAAGGAAGCCGGTTCTGAAAACTGGGCCTTAACGATACTTTTGTATTTTGAACTTTAAAGAATCTGAGTCCTTTCTATAGCTTTTTATTGTCCCTCCTTGTTGGTTAATAGTGGGCCTGAAAGGGGATTAAGTCAATACTGGAGAATCAGCACTGGAACAGACTGAGAGGCTAACAGTCCAAAGCCCAGATGTGCCCTCCTTTACACGGGCCGCTCCAGGTTCTAGAAGCCCCGGGGTGGAAAGCACTGTGGTGACGAACTGATTATCCAGGACAATTATCCAAGGTGGGGACACGCCCCCCTTGCTTCTTCCTCCCAGGGTCCCGAGGGAAGAGGTGCCTGGACCCTGCCCGGGGCTGTGGCTGGCACAGCTGGCTTCCGCAGGGGACCGGGGGACCCGGGGGCAGAGGGGCCACGTTACCTGAGGTCGAGACACGGGGAGCTGGAGCCAGTCTGCATGAGCAGCAGCCTCCCTTCTCCGAGCGCCGAGCTGTCGAGCACAGCACCCGTGAGGTCACCCGTGAGGCGGCGCCCCCGGAAGCTGCCCCGCCGCGCCCCAGCCCCCCGCCCAGCTTACCGGACGACGGGGTCCATGGCCGCGATGCGCTCAGCCACGATGAGGGACTCGCTGTAGGTCACGTCGTTCAAGGCGGGTCCCGAGTTGCACGCCAAGATGACCTGCGGCAGGATGCCCGGGCTCCTTAGGGACCTTGGCCACCGGCAGTACTGAGCCAGCCTGGGCTCGCCCGCCTGCCCGCCCGCCACCCACCCACCCACCTGGGGCTGCCAGCGGAGGAGCACGGCCTCTGGCGACCTCTCACGGCTGGGCCGGCTCTTGGGGCAGGATGGAGACGGCCCCAGGGCCCCGCGGTCAGGCTGACCTAAGCCCCAGGACGTGACCGGCCAGGTCTCCTCTGCTCCTGCCGTGCCACTGCCTACCCGGCACCTACCTGCACACGGAGGGGCCCAGGGCGATGCCAACCCCACCGAGCACAGGAGCTGGGCAAGGGACCCGCCATGCGGCCCTCCACACTCACCTCCGTCCCTCTAGAGAGAAGCTCCCTGACAAAGGGGAAGACTCCCAAAATGACGTCTACTCCACTGTTATCTGCGAAAATTAAGGCACATTTGTGAGGGGGCCCCTGTAAGACAAAACCAGGACGTTCAGTTGGGAACAGGCGCGTCCAAGCGTTCCAGACACCTCCACACTCCACTCCCCACGGCCGGGCGAGGGCTGCTGGGTCCTGCAGGCACTGGGGGCACAGGGGCAGCCCCGGCCTCTTCCAGAACTGCTAGCCCGAAGGACCTCTGACCTGAGGCCAGTGACCTCATCGCTGTCCCGCCGAAGTCAGGCTTGGAGCAGGGACGCCAGCTCATGCTTGTAGCTCAGGGCGGGGGGCTGAGGGGGACACTCCGGGGGGCCCTCGGTGCACCGCGCGGGCCCGCGCCACCTCCCCACCCGTGAACCCTGCCCGGGCCCATAGGGCACAGGACAGAGGCGGGGACAGCTCCATGTACCTTCAGTCTCTGAAGCCACTTGCTGTAGGAGTCCACGAGCCAGGGCCGCTCTGCGGGACACAGGGACGCGGTCACCCGCCCGCCGGCCTCTCCGGGGAGCCGGTCCTCGCCTCCCCCCGGCTCAGCGGG